AACAACACTAGATCGTACTGAAAGCCACGCAGCAGGTCACAGACCAAGAGATCAGTGGTCTAAGGTTTTCACCAGGTATAAAATTTATGAATGAGTCACCTATTGGGTTCAGTCATTAACTTTTAAATCCAGGCACAGAGAAGGATAGCTGATTTGCATTAATGAGAATATGAATGAGGAGCGTTACTAAAGTATAAGCTCAAAAACAGGAGACCTACAAATGGCTGACACTACTTCTGACCGTGGAAGGTATTTCCTTACAGGTAAAAGGGCACTAACTCTGTTACCTCTGGTGTGTGTCACTTGATTTCTCATTTGTGTTGTGCCTATTACAGTCATGACATTTGGCCAACTTTGCTTGTGCCACCAAGCTCACAATTTCTCAAAGCTTGAAATGGTCAAAGATATTAGCAGGTTGCTAATCAACATATGCAAGTGAAAATACTGGTCACCTAGTTCAAGGACATTTTGGTCAGTTTCTCATTTTCTTTTGAATGGATTATATCCATTCAAAGATATGATAGAGGAGATCCATGCATGTGGCAAAAAAACTGTACTAGAGGGTATCCAAGGTCCTCTCTAATTCTGAAATTTTTTGAATATTTTACAGATAATTAAAGGGAACAGAAACATAGAGTAAAATTAAATCAGTTGCTATCATTGCTTCTAAAGCATGAGTTCATGAGTCTACACTCAGAATATAAACTTCAATGATATTAAAATTAAAATTTAGAAACAACTACTCTGAAAGGATGTAGAACAGTTAGGAGCATTGACCTTCATATTTTTGTCTCAAAATGGGGTTAGAATCCTTAAAATTTAAAAAAAAAATCTAAATGGCTTTCACAAAGCACTTGAAGGATTAATACGTGTCTTCCTTGATTATAGCCTGATAAAATATTATAATATAACCCTATAATTTCTGTACCACTTATTTGACATGTTAGCCTTACATGAACAAACTGTTTGAGCCAAATGTATTTTTTATGCATATGTGAAGCTGAGAAATGCAAGAATTTTGATCCCAGGGTACATCAACCGCATGCTCCGTTAGTGAGAAATTTTTAGACTGAGCAAAGACAAGCATGAGTCATGTGACGACCTTGTTCTCTGAATGGGGAGTCATGTAGTCTCTGGAACATGTGGCTAAATGCTGGCCTTTTGCCTGCCTCAGTGACTCAACCAGTATAATTATGCCCCTATTGTAAAACATATTTAAAAATGGATTTGTAAAACTTTTTATGTACGTTTCCACAAAAAATGCACCAAATATAATAAATTTAGTAATTGAAGAGGGACACTGACACATACTAAGATTAATTCTAACAATGCCTTACTGTCATTAATAAAGAGATGTCCCATTTGGCCAAGAAATCTTTGTAAACTTGGGTATAAATTCAATTTCAAAAATCAACTTCATTAGGAGACATCATTTTTGAGAGATTTGTTTGGCAATTCATTTACACATTAATTTTACTTCATAATCTAGAGTTTTCTATATACACTTATTTACAGTGAGGCAATTTTCTGTGACAATTAGTTTGCATGTCTTAAGAACGTATTTATTTGTAAAGAAAACTTTGGAAGTTTTCTTAAAATGAAGATATCACTTTGTGACTAAAAAATCACAAAATATCATGTTGCTATAATATGCATATATAAATTTGGATATTATATGCTATTTTCTAGCAACTGTTAAGTCAGGTACAAAACATATAAAGAGAAAGACTTGTCTCTCATAAAAACTGCCCCCTTAAAATGCCCAAAAGCATGACTCAAATTTCAAAACAACCTTTAATGTTCTATCATGCATCTTTCCTATAGCACATTTGGGCAAGATCTTTACATTGTTTTGTTTTGCTGTATTTTTGATCAGGTTAACAGTTTTATATGTCCTATAAGCCTTATAAAACTATAATATTATTAATAAATCCCTTTACTCTAACCTAATATAAGTCAATAAGGCTTAAAAACACATATACTAAGAATTTATGCACCATCTGAACTGAATGAGAATAGCATGATTGTGGACCATTTATGAACTAGGCTGATCCATCTCTCTGCCTTCAAGGTCTTTAGGGCATTTTTCCCAATCCAAGTTTCTCTTCTTTTAAATTATCATTGGTACAAGGTGTGACGACTTTCAGGCATCAATTAATATAAATTGGCAGCAGGCACAGTATTAATTAAACATGACACTCTGATTATTTAAACCTTCTATTAAAGTTGATTATTCAGAGCATGTTGATAGCCTGCTCTTCAAAAATGACTGATGATATCAAGCTTTACTGACTTCCTTCAAGTCTACTATTTCCAACTCTTCAGAACAGAAGGAATAAATGAAGTGAGAAGAACACTGAGACAAGTCTTACAGGCAAACAGACTAATCTCAGACTCCCAAGGTCAAAGTAAAGCAATTCATTTCTTGGCTTTCATCAACACCAGACATGATTTATCAATCTGAGAGCAGGATTACAAACATTATACATCTCAATGATATGTTCTTTGCACTGTGTAACTTTTTAAACAATGATAGATTGCAGTCGCCGTAAAAGTAATCTCATAGGCAAAACCTATTAGATTTGAAAATAAAAACATTTTGATTTTAAAAAACAAATATACTCATTAGCAATCATTACCACTACACATTTCATTAGGGGGAGGGGAAATGGCATTTTAAAATTCAGATATTCTTTGGGACTGTATCACCACATGATCCAAGCTTTGGACTTTCATGCACCACAAAATACTCTTCTTACTTAATATATTCATTTGTGGAGCCAGTCACCATGCTCTAGGTAATTATTAAATGCACTATTTTTATATTATCACAACATTTCAGTGATAATTACTGTATTTTTACATAAAAATGTTAAATGCCTCCCAAAGTATCACTACGTCCATAGATCCAAAGCTGTTCTTAGAGAAGGAAACATTATAAGAACGATGATGGGAACATTTTTTAACATTATAAATGGAATCATAGAGCAGAAATTTTGCCTCAAATTTTAGGAGTAGTGCTTTTCAAGCTTTTAAGAGCAGGTGAGACGTAACAGAGGAAACAAGTCACGAGCTAGTAAATTTTGATCCTATTAATCTCCCAGTTTATCTCTCACTTGCTATAACATTTACAGAACTGTTCCATAAGTCATGCTCATAACAGAAGTTCAGAAATTATTCTGTAGAATAATGTTAGGTAATTTGAAAGGTGTCCATTGAAATTAAATTATATATAAAGGGTTGCCAATTGTAATCATGATATCTTATTCTACATTCTCTAAATTTTAAATCACATTTTCAGTGATCAAAATTAATGACCACTTTTTCTATTTGACCACAGTTTTAGGAAAAATGTGTGGCCTAGGTGGAGGAGGATAGTAAAGGTGTTGTACCTGCAGCTGATGATTCACTTCACCAGCTGCCAGAAAGTTGCATGCTGCCTCACACCTGCACACATGCACCCGCCACTGATGGGGAAAGGCATTTATCTTGGCACGTCACGAAGGAGAAGAAATTATGATTATTCTCCCTTGTAACGAAAGGTATTTTGGAGCTGTGTCTACCTACAAAATAATACAAATTACACATCTGGACTAGGGCCACATAATTATACCATCTGTTCTCTATAGTCAACCATAAATATTTCCCGAAGCATTCTTTGCATTAAAAAAAATAAGATTTATTTTTAAAAGACCTGGACTGATTGTCAACATTGCAGAAGAATGTTATTTTTTAAATTAATACATTGAATAAATTGCTCAAAATCCTGAACTTCTTTGGTTGATAACTACATGGTACAAATTTAACCATTAGTTTCCACCAAGGGGATTTTGTGGATTTCTGGTATTCAGATTTTGAGAAAATAAATGTGTTGGATACGTTTTACACAAAATCTCCCATGCAAAAACTATTCGAATATCTAGTATGAAAAAAAGAAAGGTAACAGATGTGTCTTTCTTCAACTTAAGTTTTAACAGTTACTCATTATCTTGGCCTGACATCCAGAGATTCTAACTTAATCTCTCCTGAGAAGTGCCTTAGTTTAAGACCTTAAAATTAAATATCAAATTAAAAGGATTCTAGAAATATTTAATGAAGTTTGCAGAATCATGATTTCCAGAAAATTAAAATATTTCACCCAACGTAATCAGCGATAATAATCTCAGTCTACATGAGTTTTGATAGTTACTTTTAAGTTATTATAAAACTTCTACATCTTATGTTTCTCCTTTGAAATACAAGTTTATTTTCTCTGTATACAAAGATTCAATGAATTCTGTACACAAAAACAAGAGGGATCATAAAATGCATATTCAATTTTAGTACTGAAAGTATAGAGGCTTCAGTATGGGTTGGAATAATTTTCCATACTTCTTTCAAGAACACTGAAGAAAGAAATGCTTAGGACCTTGAAATATAGAAAACACTCTTATATGAGTAATATTTAACTTGTTCCTAAGATAAGAATAAATAATAGTAACAATAAGCAGAGAATAAAAATTGACAGTCACTAACCTAAGTACTTTATAAATATTAACTCATATACACAACTCATTGATGTAGGTGTTATTATTATTCTCACTTTTTTGAGATGAGAGAAAATTCTTTGCAATAAAAAAACTGATTTAATACATCACTGTTCTTTAGTATTTATATATATTGAAACATTGATATTATCAACGTGTGAAACTAAGGTCCTGTTAAGTCCACAGTAAGTTGTATATATAATTTTATAAAATAGGTTATCTAAAATATAACTTTATTCTTTTATGCCTTCAGGTTATATAATTTAGTATTGAATGTAGACTATACAAAAAAGTTATATCCATATCTAATTCATGACAAAATCAAATAAATTTTATCCACCTAAGTGAATGACAATGATGATAAGTATAAAGTTGATTAGCCCACACTCAATTTCTTCTTTAAGTGTATTTTTTCAGCTATATAACTTTACATTTATTCCTCATAAATATTTCAGAGTAAATATGGCCACTTACTTTTCAGGATTTTCTACTTCCTCAGTAACAAAGTTGAGATAAAACCTAAAAAGATATAAATAAATTACAAGCAATTAATATCTTTTATGATCATACTTCCAAAGTTTTAAATTTTAAATTATTTAAAATCAACCTGAGAATTATGAAAACTTTATAAACAAACACTTAAGTAAGATGAAAATGTTCCACAACCAAAAGCTGCCACAAATCATTTTCCTATTAAACGATATTGACAGAGTTACTTTTCATTTAACATTTTTATAGAACTACAATATACTAACAGCAGAGTGCACACACCTTAATGCACGATGATGAATTTTTACACACTTATGCACCTGCATAACCCACAGCAAGACCAAGAGAGCAAGCGTTCCTGCCACCCTGCACAGTCCCCCAAGCCTTTCCGGTGTGCATCTCCTCCCCTCTTCCGCGAAGGCAACCGCTAACTCTCTTAGCATCATGGATTCAATGTTTCAGTTGTTTCATATCACAATAGACTGATATTGGCTTGCATAACTATTACATAATATTTGTTCTTTTGTGTCTGGCTTTTTTGCTGGCCTTTGTGTTTGTGCTTGTGATTTTCATCCCTGTGATTCATTATTTTCCATTGTTTCCTTTCAACACAGGAATGTGACACTATACAGTCTACTGTGGATGCACATATAGATTACTTCTAATTCATAGCTATTATGAGTATAGGTGCTATAAATAAGTTTCCACCTGTTCTTTTGGGAACCATGCATTCATTTCTCTTGGTTATACACTCAGACCACGATCACTGGGTCAGAGGGTAGATGTATGTCAACCACCAACTATTTTCTACCATGTTTTGCAACCCACCCACCCACCCCTCCCCGGCAAAAGATGAGACTATCATGGGTCAGTCACTGAGGAAATCAAAGTGGAAAATACATAGCTTCTGTCCTCAAGGAGCTCACGGTTTATAGAATGGTCCGTAAAATAACGTGATACACGCAGAAGACAATGCTGCGGCACACCCAGGGCACCACGGGAGCCGGGCGAGGCCGCTCCCAGAGGGGCAGGTAAGGGAGGGCGTTCCAGAGAGGCGTGCCCAGCCGAGCCCACAAAGCTGCTGGACATTTACTGAGGTGCAGCGGTGTAAGGACATCCCAGAGTGAGCAGAGCCCATGAGCATGGGGTGTGGCGAGGTACTGCGCACAGGGCTCAGAGTGACAGCTGAGCGCTCTCCAGTGCGGCACAGGGAGAGAGCGCAGGACTTAAGTACACATGGCCTTTGGCTTCTGAGAATCCAGGTTTCAGTAGCGGTAACGAGTCCATCAAAATGTGTAGGACAAGAGAAGTATGACAGTAGCATCACTCAGTTTTAGGGAACCAGCTTTCTAGATATAAACACACAGGGCAGGAAGGAACAGGAAATGGGATGAAAGATAAATTCTCAAGTTCTCACCTCTCCCTTTCAATTCACTGATTTCCAGTATGCATCCCATCAAATAACCTCACGTCACAACGCTCTGAGGTTACTGTTTTTGTGTGTGTGTATTTAGGCAGCTAATTTTAGGCACTGTGAGTCATTACACTACAAGTTGATAACGGAAGAGAAGAGCTTTTTGAAAATTTTCCAAGTTCTGAAGACTTTTCTGGGTCTATCCCATGACAAGAAGCATCCTGGGCATGCAATATTACACTTTCAAATTCTACAGGACTGCAAATATTACCCTAAAGTTACAGTCCTAGAGAAATTCGGGTTCCTTTTCTTCACTTTGCTACCCTACTTTTCCTAGTCAGGAATGTCTACTGCCTTGCCTTGCATCCTTGACTTCTTTTTCCAACCCAAAGACCTTCTGAAGCCCTGTAGTTCTCTCCCTGGGTTCCAAGAAATAAGACTGAAGTGGACATCATACTCAAATATGCACACTTAGATCAATGGATTGTGAAGATGGGAAAACAAAAAACCTCATACAGGGGAAACCTGAACATATAAAGACCAAGACCTTTCTACTTCTTCACTTCATAGGTGTGGGAAATTTCCACAAAATAAAAAAGTGATATTTTCAATATACTCCTTTGTTTTCTTAGTATTCCACAGATGGTAACATGCCAATTATATATGTACACAAAAGTGTGGGTCTATAGGTACAAATTCTCCATAATCTAAAACCAAATAGCTGGAATATTAGCCCATGAGCCTTTAACACACTTAAACTTTCTCATGACTTAGAACAAAGATGAGAAAACCTGTCATATTCCATCTCTATAAGAAAAACTTATCTAAATTAACAAGTAGGCAATTGATGGTCATGGTCATTCAAAACAACAGACCCAAAATGGAGTCGCTTATGCTAAGCCTTATGTCCCCAAACCAAGAATTATTTAAAGTTTCAGCTCTCCCAGAAATGGAATCTGAAATCACTCTATCAGGACTCACCTGACCAGAACTAGTTAGGTCACCTGTCTGACGGACAGGAAACTAGCCTTGCAATCACCAACTTGCTTTTTTGTCCAGTATAATGACTTCCTGTTCCCTCTTTCTTCAGCCTATGAAAGCCTTTCATTCTATACCTCTCCTCGGAGCTCCTTTCCATCTACTAGATGGGACGCTGCCCGATTGGAATTGATTTTTTGCTCAAATAAACTCTTAAAATTGTTAATTTTATCAATTTATCATTTAACGAGGTTAAGGTGTAAAATATTTTAAAGATGTGTTTTAAGTAGAAACATGAATAGCTGAAAAAAACCCAGTAGCAATAAAATTGATTTAAAAAATTAGCAGCTAAAAATATTTTCTTTTTGTCTGGGCAGGGGGGGGGGAAGCAGTGAGCTTTTTTTCAAAGATATTTTCTAATGACCAGAGTGTAGGTTTCTAAAAATTGGGGTTGAGTTGCATCAGGAAGGCAAGCCGCAATCAATATTTACACCTGGAATATGTAACTCTGAGGGACTTGATGGGTTTGTTATAAGCCCGAGTCAGGGGGAAGTGCCGGAAGAAAAATGCAAACAGCAAAACAACAGACAAACAAACAAAAAAAAGCACACAAACTAAAAAAAATATTTCCAGGCTTCCGATGTCAAAAATAACCAGTTCCTTCTTAACATTTGTTTTAGAAACATACTTCCCAACAATGTTAAGCAAGAAAGGCCATATTCAGGAAAAAAGAACACAATTTCAAATATCTGCCATAGCTCCAGAGAATAGAGAAAAGGCAAGGGCTTGGGGCGGGTGTGGGTGAGGAGGGGGCTGCTGACTGTGCTCCAAACATCCGCCCCATGGGAAGCACACCTTAATGGTTGCTCGCCTCTGGCAGTGAATCCGGAGCCTCCTCCTGGCTTTACATCTCCTCCAAGCCCCCAGAGAATGTTCACAAGACCTATTGTTCCAGCTCTTCCACGGCTGCGTATTAAAGTGCTGTCAGTGCGTTCCAGTCCCCAACTATGTGAATTATTTTAAAAAGCTTATTCTTTAGATTAGATTTGACACAATGGTACAAAATAATCCCAGTAGGTGCTTTAGAAAGACCAAATTCACTGAGGATAGGGTTTAAAAGGAAGAAAAAAGACACCGAAAGCCTATTTTCTATCACACAGTTTAAAAAAAATATATGTTCCCACCCACCAATATTTAGCTTTGGATCAGGAATGGGGCCGAAATTGGCGGAGCTCCCTTGGACCACAAGGGAAGGGGCAGGCATATTTCTCTGAATACAGACATTGGCAAGAATATAAAACTTGTTCTGACCCAACTCTCTGACCTGGCTGGGTTAATGATTTCCTTCCCCCAATCATGTTTCTGTGAAGGGGCTTTTATCATTCTAAAAAGGTTCTGCACTCCTCACAGCCAAAACCCCACGGTATGCACAGCCAGGGTTTGGCAGTGCCTCGCTCCTCTTCAGCCCACGGGTGGGAGCGAGGCCCCCAGGACAGCGGGGTCGGCTGCTCTGAGGGCAATCGCTGCCTGGCATGTTTCTGGGCTAGGCCTCCCCGACTTTTTCCTTCATCAACCACTGTCACAGCTGCAGCAGAGGGGGCGCAGGCTCATTTACGGAGCCCCGTTTCTAATTCCGCACCCCAGTCTTGTGAATTTATCATGAAAGTCAGAGAGAGGTCAGAGAGGCAGGATCCCATTTGGAAAGTGACTAAACCACCCCCCATCCCTGGGAACTCTTTTAACCTCACTCTTGTTCCGTTTATATCCAGATAGGAACTGTTCCTTGGGAACTCCAAACCAACAGACTCCATCTCCCAAAGAAAGCTTCGATTTTCTGAGACCGATGGCCATGGATTAACAACCCGGCCATCCCTACCTATCCACAAAGCGGCATTCAGTCAGGTAGTGTAACAACCTGTTATCAAAATATAGTTACCAATCTGTCTCCTACATAAGCCTCCTGTCTCAGATAACATTTCATTCAAAATCCTGGCCTTAATTTCCAGTATTATGATTGAATCCTCAAGAATATAAGAAAATCAAGTTTCCTGTCCTTAAAAATAGGGAGTAGGCATGAGGGTTATATGGGTAAAAGTACAAATAAAGGTTCCCATAAACACCATGTACCCTATAAACAGCAGTAGGATAAACGTTGAGGCCCAACATGGAGCTACTCAATTCCCCCAAACCAAGACAACTCTGGGCTCTATATTTCCTTGTTCCTTACTCAATTTCTACTTTTTCTCTTCCTTGTTCCTTATTCTTTATTTGATGAAAGCTGCCTGTCTTCCACCCCACTGTTCAGGTCTGTGGACCGTTGAGAGTGGAGACTGTGCACTTCATGAAGTGGTAGGAGGTTGTTTGTATCACCTACATTCTCTTTTCAAGTCATTTTAACAAGAGTAACATTTTGGGTTCAATATCAATAAAACTAAATAGTAAGGTAATAAGATCATTCAAAATGAAAAGAGCCTTCATCCATAAAGAATCTATCAGCCCTCCAAAGCCCATAGAAGTGGAGATTTGCTCCACATAAAGTGGGTGACTTGAATATTCAGTAGCTGGTAGTGGGGGCATGGGTGAGGTAGAAGAATATTTTAATATTCCGTGGGAACAGATGCATGGTGCTCACAAGCAAAAGAAACTTCACTCAACAGAATTAATCAAGTCTCCCTGGTGACAATCTCCACATTCCGCATCCCTGATTGAATATTGCCGGGCTCCCAGCTCTTGGCTCCAGCTAAAAGCTTCTGCCACCTCCCCACTCCACTCTTGTGTCTCCTGGTGACCTTCCCAGCAGCTTGGCTGATGCCCCGGGGCTCCCAAGTTCTCATCCCAGCTGAACAGTCACAGAATAGTTGATTCTGCTGCTCACCCTGTGATCACAGCTCCGTTCTTTTCTCTGCCCAACATCACATTGTGCTTTGGGCAAAAATTTAAAAAGACTTCAAAATACTGAGGGATTCAAGACTAATGCTTACACACAATGGCTGTAAAAATAATCTGGTAATATACAAATATTTTATGCTAGACTCCTTAGAGCTACAATTTTCTAACAACCTTCAACAATTTTGATGTTTAAATAATACTTTTCTACCTAGCGGGCTTTCTAGCTAAAGTCACTTCAACTAAATCTTAACTAGACCAGTGATTTTCAACCAGTGCGCTGCAAGAATTTTTAAAGCATGCAACACCTGCTTATTTAGTTAGTGGCATGGACCTTTATTTCCTTTTGATTGCCAAATAAAAATATGACAACAGCCAGCACAATAGTCACCCAGTGTGAATGAATTAAAATTATATCTGTTTTTTGTCAGACTGGCAAAAAATACATATTTTGCTATGCTACAGAATTTTAGTAATTAGTTTATATGAGCCAGGAGATGAAAAAGATTGAAAGTCACTGTACTAGATCAATAAAATTTAATGAGGAAAACCCCACTTTTATCCACGATCATTGTTAGTTAAGTTTCTGAACAAACCAAGGCATAAACACAAAGTTCTAATGCTTCGACCAGAATGGTATCACAGTTGGCATGCCTCAAAGGCAACGTAGCCCCATGGTGTGGTGGTTTTAATGAACTTCGCTGTATTGTTTCCCAATGTTGAGTACATTTTAAGAAATTTCGTAAGGTCTTTCAAAATGGAACAGATTATCTAGCACAACTGATTTCATTATCCTGGTTTCTCCTTTCCTGCCTTTAGAGTACCATTTTACCTCCCAGGAACATCTTACTCATTTCTATATCTGAATTATTTCTTTCTCATGGAAAGGTGGAGGAAAAAAATCAATCCCTATTTGTAAACACCCTTGAAGCTTCAGCTGAAAGGCCTTTTGACAAGCAAAGTAATAATCTTCAATATCTCATGGCACCATTATGTCCTTACCGATCCACCCTGACAAGTGATTTTTATTGGTTCTTAAGACCCAGCATTTGTTTTTTATAACATTAGGCTAAACCTGGCGCTCACTTTGACTGGAAACCTCCACTACGTTTGCATTGTTACAGGCACAGGAACTGGCCTGTTGGCGGGAGCCACACCATCTTCTTCGCTTTGAGTTGAGGAAACTGCACTGGATCACAACTGCTCACACTTGCCTAGCACTTTGCTTGGCGATAAATGAAAGCACTCAGAGTTCATGAACTAGACTAAGAGAGATCAACTTACCAGCCAGCGTATGCATACATCCCATAATAAAAAGCCAGTGGCAGGCCCATAATACTTGCGTCTCTTCCTGAAAAGGCATCTTTGAAGTGTTGTGTTTGTCCTGCAATGAGAAGAGAAAGATTTGAAGAGTTTCCAAAGAATTAGTTATTATTTATTCTTCAACCATACGCACAAGGAAAGGGCAAGGCGGGGAGGGATGGATATAAACTACTGTTTCAGCTCAAGATTTCTTACGCTCTGCTCATTGCCATTCTTGTCTTTTAATACTTTATCCATTCTAGCGATGGAATCCCAGAAGTAGACTGATCACCACTAACATTCCTTCACACTTCTCTTTTAATAAAATTACAGCAAAGAAGAAAATGGTATTTTAAAAAAAAATCCCTTGTTTGAGCACGTCTTCATTCTCGACAGAGTTTGACCATGAATGGAGACTAAAGAATCTTTGGTAACCCATAGTTTAACGGGTGCATGACAGAATTCTTCAAAATGAAGATAATACAATAGAATGCTTGGGAAAAAATATCCAAGCGTCTGTTCTCAAGGAGGAGGCATCAAGAAAGCCCAGAATCGCCTTCTCACATCATTTAACTTTTTGCTTCTCAACCCTTATAGTTCGTTAGACACCAGCAGGAGGGGTTGGAAAACCTTGTACCTTGTACCTAAATCTGCTCCACCACCCTCCCCCAGCTTCTTTGGTAAAGAGTTTTTATTGGAGTGTAGCCAGGCCCGTAGTTCAGGTGTTATGACTGACACTATCAGTCTATGGCTGATGTCACTCTAAAACAGTAGGGTAGGTTAGTCGTGACAGAGGCCACAAGGCACGCAGTTATAAAGATTCGCCACCTTCCCCTCTGCAGTGAAAGCCTGTGAAGGCTGTTCTAGAGAACGGCTCCGGTTCCTTCTAGAAACACTGAAAGGAAATTATACTGAACTCTAAAATAGATACATTGTAACAAACTTTGCATTAATATCTGGCTTGAACACTCTCATTGATCACATTTTTCTCTACTTTGTGAATCATAATGGGCCCCTTTCTTGTATATCTTTTGGATAATTACCAAAAAAAAATAATTCAGATTTAGTCAGCCAATATTCAGAATTAAGCGTAAAATTTCTTCCCTAAAGAAAACAGCAAATGAGATTACCCAAATAGAAACTGTGATATTGTTTCAAAATTGGTCTTCACATAAGTAAGTTAGGGGAGGTGGCTGATATATGAGACCTTCTCTCTTCACTCAAACCTCAGTTGCTGCTGGGGTTGCCCAGCAACGACATGCATATCAATATAATATGTGTGAGTTTTGAGACCAAAAGTAGAGAATGTTAAGTTACACACTAAATGATTTTTCCCTCGAAGCACCCAATTCCCTAATGTAGCTCAATTTTAAAAATGATACAGTGAATTCGGAAATGGCTGCATCACTAAAACATCTCTGTGTCCTCGTAAAAGGGAACTAACAATGCTGGAACTCAAATAAAAACATCTGGTGTATGTTTTTATCATGATCTGTGGTCTACTTGACCTAAAGAGGCAATATTCTTAATAGTGCAGCACTGATAATCAATAAGACAAACCAGACTTTATAAAGATCAGGTCCCAAGCAAATATCCTGCAAAGTGCCATTTTGAGATTATTACAAAGAAAGGCATTCTGAACTTCAGGGATATTTTGGCTGTGTAACAGAAGTCACAGGAAGATGAAGGTCATGATACTCAAAGGAAAGTTTCACAAATTCTCATAAGTGACCACAGAGCATAGAACTATATTTAGGATCTGAGATCTGATTAGGGTAGAAATAAATGCACAATCTATGTTAGTAAAGCTGTTTTTCTTCCTTGCGTTTCAAATATGAGAAATATTTGATTGTTAGAAATCAAGAAAAATCACCATTTTATAGTAACAGGGTAATATACCTGCTAAGAATGCTCTCCAAAATATTAAAACTAACTTTAAACGTGGTAATACTCTCAAGGCATTTCTCGGATTAGATACATGAGGAAGCCTGGTCACACTAAGCATTGATATCATAAGATTGAATTAAAGGGTCATTCTAGTGTAAAGTGCAGAAAAAGATCCAGAAGGTATCCCACGGCATCTGCTCTCAAGCGGTTTGCAGGATAGCAACATCCGGGCAACTTCCTCTCATCTCACTCACATATGTAAGTAAGTGATAACAACCAAAAAGATAAAGATAGAAAAATACCTTGGTTTCCAAGGACAGCATCGCACTGTTTGGAACCTAAGCTAGAACTCCAGGAGGGTCAACGACTCAGGGTTTCTGCACTTTGCAAAAATGGAGGAAACCCCGTACAACAGACTAAAGAGTTAGCCCAGAAAAAAGAAAGCACTCACAAAACAGATTGTTTTCCCTACATTTCTCATGGATTGGATAAAATATGAACCGGCTGGCTCTGTAGAGGCCACGGGAGCAAGGAGGACCAGCTCATGGCTTCTCTTTGTTGTGTTTATTCCGAGCTGGCGGACGTTGCCGGATCTGATGAAAACATGTAGCCAGGGGAGCTCCAAGGTCTCCCATTGGGCTTATGCAATGGACAACAGCAACTCTCTTTCCCTGCTACCGGGGAATGGATCTTTCCTCATTTGTTCTTGTTTAATTCTTCTACCATTTTGTGGAATTTTGGCATTCCCCTTTGCCCTGTGTAATTCTCCTGAAACTTTATTAAATTTCTCAATAAATTCCCTTTCCTGGAACCGACAATGTCCACGTAAACATTAAACAATTAACATGCCCGAGTTATGCGTCATTCCTTTACAATTGTATCTCACTTTCCTATTTATTTCCCGCTATCATGCTCATGGCTAATTGAGTAACTCACCTGGACCTGCTTCTTTTCCAACAGTTTCCACTGAATCCAAGCTACTACATGTGACTTCTCCTTCCAAAAACCACAAAAATTCTAAATGATGTCGCCCCTTCAACCATCTCATTTTTCTTACTGAACAGTCAACTCTATTATGCAAGTACTCCCAGAAAATGGTGTACCATTTCCAGAGAAATGCAGATCTTACATTAAAAATAATGTAACAATAAAAATTAAGTTACACAATGATTTTTGTCCCATGATATTTGGCTTTTAGGAATGCTATGGCCATAGCTGACTCCCCTCCCATCCAGTTTCCATGCTCAAGGTAAAAGGCATAATAACCATAAAGGACAAGAATTGTTGATCATCTTTCATTGTTTTTCCATATATCTTTAATCTTCATTATTATCATTGAATTATTTTAAAGTAAAAATAGGACATATGCATCAGTAGTTTAACGGTAGATTCTTTTTTTCACTTTGAGTTTTCATTTCTTATACTGACACAGAATTCACTGATGCCATATTTTGTTGTTTGGCCCAGTCTCAATGCTCTTGATGCCATTTAGCTCTAAATACCAACTCATCCTCGCTGTAGCAGCCTTTCACATCAATTAGACAACAGTATAGAGTCTAAGTTCTACAAGCAGGGACTAATTAAGGGATTCTGCTAGTACAAGCGAAAGTGTTAGAGGAGACCAAAAGCAGACACGTACTTTAAAAAGCATTTATTTTTTGGTCCATACCTTTAATTAGCTGCATAACTCCAGGGACTATAATTATCAGAATTGCTATGAGCTTGCAAAAGGTTAGGAAAATCTGAATCCGGGCACTCCAGCTGACACTCATGCTATTGAGGACCATCACTACAGCTGGAAAAAAAAAGGGAAAACAAAACCAGATGAAGTTACAAAAGGAGGATCCTCATTGACATGAAGACATCATAGGCCCCAACCACTCCAAGCGCTGACCCACGAACCAGGTATGTTGGTGTGACCTGGAAGCATTTCGGAAATGCAGAAACTCAGGCACCACCCGCACCTCAAGAATACAATTCTGCATTTCAGCAAGATCTCTAGGTGATTTTTATGCCCATTAAAGTTTGAGAAGCTTTTAGGTCAAAAACCCCAGACAGTAAGAAGTCCTCTCTTATTCTTTTTTGACATAGGAGTGACTGTATATTGCACTGCCTTAATGATTCTATAAAAATATCTTCCAAGCACACCCTGAAGCCAGCGGAGCACGCAGCCAGGTCGCTGAACGTGACTTGGGCGTGCTCCGGCAGCCGCGACTTCCTCCCTCGGCGGCTGTCGGTAGGTGTATTCACCTCCCCGCGCCGGTCACACTCCGGAAGCAGGGAGATGTCAAGAACTTGGCCGGGGCCCTATTCTTTACTCACAGGACTAGCCTCAGCCAGCACCTTTGGTTTTCCTCTCCACTTTCCAATTAGCACATCAACGAGTGACTTGCAGCCTACCCTAAACGAAGAGGCTTCCAAGACTTGTTTTGGGACTTGGGGAAAAAACATTAAGTGATGAGTCCAAAAGAGTGCGCGGGCTTGGATGAGCACTGGGGTGAAGCCCGCGGGATTTCCCTGCCTTACGGACGCTGTCTGCAGTTTCCTGCGCAGCGTTTGACTACCCGCTCTCTCTGGAGCCAGGCTGTGGACCATGGGAAACTCGAGGCCAGAACAGGTGGCGTTCTTCTCTGTATTGCTAGAATCCAGCCTCTGGCCTGGCCCAGGAAGATAATCAACCCGGTTTTGTTGAAAGAATGAATGAGATGCATACGCAGTTTAAAAAACAAACAAAACAAAACAAAATACTACCTTCAGCCAATAAGACAGGAAATGAATGGCGACACTTTAAGACGCTGCCTTCTCTGCTCCTCAGGAATGACTGAGTCTACTCTAGACAGCGAATTTCAGCTTTATGCTCCTTACAAAACCTCGTACATGGTGTTACCCACGCCCCTCCCCCACCAACTTAGAAAGCGACTTGGTATCTGACGTTTGCAGTTATTATCTATAAGCTTTATTTTTAAAAGGTACATTCCCCCTTCTTCAGATATAAAAACAAAACATAGAATCATTATATTTGAAATGCAACAGAAAGTTTTTCTTACACACAGCAATAAGTTGTCTTTACACTTTTCATTGTTTGACATATTCATTAACTGATTTCGGAATTTAAGATTCAGTACAAATATTACTGGCTTAATAACCTAGATCTGCAAAGGAAGGTTGATTAAGGTACATCTTTTTAATGATTTACTATGCAGCCCTCTAAAATCGTGATGCAGGTAAATATTTATTACATGAAAGAGCATTCATGATATTATACTGACCAGTGCAGCCAAGTGACAGAGACAGATAAATAGACAGGTAGTCACACACAAGACAGAAAGAAAATTTTAAACATCTAAAAATTATTTACCAAAACATTAACAAAAGTTACCTATCGATAATGGAACACTAAGTAATTTTCAATTTTTCTTATTTGTTTTTCTGCATCATTTTAACAGTTTTTATCACAAACATGCAGCATTGTAAGCACAAAATTATAAAACAATTTTCATTTTTCAAAAAATTCAAAGATGGAAAAAAATAAGGGCTCTGTAGATCCCACAGAGTGATCTAGGGGTTTGCTAATGAAGAAAGGCTTCAAAGGAGAGACGATGAGAATGAACAGAAAGACTGGGGCCCCAAATAAGCTACACAGGAGGTTAAGGGAACATTTTTATGTACATTTGAGGCTGAAAACATGAAGAAACAGATAGGCCCACTCTGAATAGCACAGGGCATTATTTCATCAGAGAAAGAATAAAAAATTAAATTATTTTTCTCTCCCCAGTATAAAGCACTTACAGGTTGAAAATAATACAATGCAACTGTGCTCCTGTCTTCATCATCCAATGATATCTTTTCCTATTTCTATGCAAAGGACTCTGGGATAAATGAGTCATCATAGGAAGAGGATTAATTTTTCAGTTCAAGAGATTTGGCATTGGCCTGAAAGAAATTGAACTTATATTCCTACTGCCAACAAAAGAGCACTGTTTTCTTCTAAGGAGAACTCCTAAAACCAAAAGCACTCTCTGCCTGAAAGTACGCCACACTAGAAGAGAACTGTTGCATGGAGAGGAAAGGTGAAAAAGGAGAAGAAAAAGAAAGAGGAAAAAAAAGGGAGAGAAGGAGGAAGGGAGGGAAGGAGGAAGGAAGGAAGGGAGGGAGGGAGGGAAGGAGGAAAGGGGGAGAAGAAACAGAAAGAGGCATTCTTATGTTTGGAACCTTTAACTATGTTTAAGAAGAGGAAGAGGGTTTGTTACTTTCATAAAGAGTGTGAGTACTTAGTGCCTATGGAAAAAGAGGAAAGGCATTCAGGATTTTCTTTGATATTTTGTTAAGTCTTTTTAGAAAAATGGAAGGCAAAATTAAACAACTGTTATGAATCGATCACCTCACCTTGCTTTGCTCTCAGATGGGTAGAATAAAAACTCCGGTTGAGAGGGATCTCTCTCAAAGATTTCTCAAGACTGCTCTGTCGCAGCACCCAGACAGTGCTCATTATGTGGCACATCGAATTCCATCTGAGAGGCACTTCTGAGACCCTGACAGGTACAGCTAACAAGGAACAAGGCACCAGTGCCGAGGTGACGTGAAGGTCCTCAAATGGCAGAAATGGCTGTGGTGTCATGCATCTTTACGGAGAAATTTAAGCCTATGGATGTTGCTTATCCAACAATATTTGAAAAGGCATTTGGGAACCACTAAAAGCAAGAGTCTTCTGAGTCTCTGAAACAAATAATATCTACTTTGTTTTTTATACACTATCTCTCCATAATGTAATAATTAAAGAAATGTGAACAAGCTCTCTGGTCCTAGTGTGACTTTCTTTGAATAATAATTGCTACTTTCACATATTAGAGACTTTTTATATCAACCTGGGATGATGATGACAGCAATGACGACAGCAACGATGATGACGATTTTTATTTTGCTTTATCTTAAATGTTACCAAAATGAAAATACAGGAACATAGAGTTTTTGTCACTTATTTATGATGCAGTTTCCTAAGAAACAAAGAGCATCCAGGAAAGCCATATATACAAGTCCTGGAGACAAGAAACACATATTTGTTGAAGAGAGCTGTATCTGAAGAGGAGTTTAGAGGGATGTGAAGGACTGACTCTCTGATTTAAGGACTGGCAAGTATGTCTGGCTGCAATTCTGTAATTCAAGTCTGTTTTTGCTTTTGCAGAGTGAGATCACTGAGCCTGGATATGTTGGGTTTTCTCCCAGGTTCATGTTCTCCCTTACTTCTGACTGCTTCGTGCTATACCGAATGCCGCACGAATGCTCCAAGGTCGAGCTAACGTGGGTTGTTTTCACTGTCTTTGGTAACAGCTGCCTAGGCTGCCTTTAGCTCTTCCTTAAGATTTATTTTCTGGAGGCGCTAATTTCAGAGAAGATGTGTAGCAATAAAGAGAGCCTGTATTTAGGATCTCACTATTGAGAATAAAAATTGAAAGCATTAAATGAATGTATAGCTGCGTAGAAGCTTCATTTCTTTAATATGACCTTTTATTCTCTATTTCCTTTTGATCCAAACTGGCCCCATCCAGCACCCTGACCCACCTGCCTCCCTCTCCTGGGCATAACGACTCCTTTAAGCGTTGAGCCCTCAGGACAATGAGGTTCTGATCTGCATCCAATAACCTTAGGAACAAAGCTTCTGGCCTGCTGACCACAAAGACAGAGTTTTGGTCAAACTAGGGGAAACATCTAGGCCTCAGTTGTGTTTCAGCTCCAGGCCCAGAAAAGCAGCAAAACCAGAAGAAGCCTTTTCATGGCTGACATCAGGGCCAGATGCAATGACCAAGAACCCCCTACCCTAGTGCCGACCAATCAATACAATGACCCTGATCATGACCCTAACTCCCTTAGTCACCACAGTTAATGATCTTTCCCCTATATAACCCACCCCCTGAAAGCCCAGTCTTTGAGCATTAGCTCACCTGTGATTCCAGGCATGGGCCACTTCCTGAAAAATAAACCTTCCTTTCTCTGCTGCTAACTCCTATTTGTGTCTTATTGGGCTTTGATGTACGCAGGCAAATGAACCCTTTTAGTCTGGTAACAAATGCAAACTATTATTATAGGGCAAGCATTGTGCAAAGATTTTCCATGGACACTTATCTAACGTTCATATCTCTATGATGCGGTTACCATCATTAGCCTTATTTTTCAACGTAGACTCAGGACATGAATTACCACACCCACGTTCACACAGATAAGTGTGAAGATAGGGCTGGGGTCCAGGTAGGCCGGCCCCAGAGTCCACACTTCTGCCGCCAGTTCTCAGGTAACAAGGAGGAAGTAGCTCAGAAGAGACCTGATCTCACACACCTGGTCTCCCAGACTCCTGGTGGCCCCTCCTCTCTGCTAAGGTTCATGTTTGTCTTAGCTGGGTTTTCGGGGCACTTCGATGCCACGTTTTAGTTGTCATTCTCCTAAAGAAAATGGTTGTTGTCTTGTTGTCTGCAGGACTTGTGTATTTCAATACTATGAGTATCTGCCTAAGAAAGCTGGCTCTCCCGGTAATTTGGTTATGGTGGAAAAGGAATCAGTCTAGCTAGACTTCAGAAGAAGCAGTAAAGCCACTCCACATGCTGTATTTGAAATGCCAGCACAGAACGAGAGTTTCTTTCATGAAAGTTACTGATGCCAGGAAATACAGTTTTAAAGAAAATACAGTCACACACTTGTAGAACTGGCTGATTTTTCTTTTCCCACTATGCAATCATATGTTATTTTGTTTGCTCCCTCTAATTATTCCCGCAGGTACAAGGAGCTGGGCAGGGCTGTCTGCTCGCCCACACAAACTGTACTCCTAGAGCCTCAGAGAGGTCGTTAGGGATGGATCTGGGACTAGATCTCACATTTTGAGAAAATATTTTTATTAGGGCTTAGTGTCAGGAGACCAGAACAACAGACAAAATGTCATTTTAAACACTCAGCCTATGTACGTCAATGCTTCATGAAACTACAAAAACAGTAAAATTTCAGGGGGATCCATAGCAGGTGAAAGGAGTGAAGTCAGCGGTGGGCCCGAAGGGAGCGCCGAAAGTGAATGTGAGATTTCCCAGTTACACGTCCGTGGGCCTGAGACGCCTCCCACGATGGAGACGTCTTTGGACAAGCACAGCTCCTCATCTTTATTAACTAAACAGGAATGAAGCAGAGTCCAGTACTCACGATCCGGTACTTACCATGGGGTTATGTTTCAATAAACCAATTTTTAAGATGAAAATACTCTAAGTTGGAAATGCATGTAATACGCCTAACCTACCAAACACCATAGCTCAGCCAAGCCTACCAGAAATGTGCTCAGAATACAATTTTAAAAAGCAAACAAACAAACAAACAAACAAACAACCCTGGCAACACAGTCTGCTAGTGGAGCGAGGGGCTTGGCCCCAGGAGATCAGGTGTCTGGTTGCTGCGCTCAGTGCTGCCATCCGGCACCACGAGGAAGATGCCGACCCATGGTCACTAGCCCAGGAAAAATAAAATCGACTTCAAAGTATGGTTTATACTGGATGCATATTGCTACAGTATCATCATAAAGTCCAAAAATCCTTTTCAAACTGCCGTTAAGTTGGGGACCTCTGTACTTTTTAAAGGGGGGCGGTGTGACAAGCAGGAAATCAGCGTCTAGGACGTCTCCAGCCCACCCCCACCCTCCTTTCTCCAATGGTTGGCTCACGTTTCAAAAACACTTGAAATGCCTTTTTTCAGTGATTTGATTATAACACAGCTCTTCTGTACTTTTACTTTAACTAGAGATTTCAAACTACCACACACTAGTTCCCTCTCTGGGAAACACAAAGAATGAAGTTCACATGATTCAACTCTGCTTGCTACACACTTCTCAAGGAACCCCACCCCGGCAGGGAGAAAGTCACCTGTCCTCGCTTTGAATAATGCAGACTGGGAGGGGTCTGCCCCGGGGCAAATGCCTCCTGCTCTCTCCTATCTCCACTTCCTGTTGCGCATTAAAGCTAAGACTGTTTCACTCTCCCAATCAGACCGTTGATTTACATTACCTCCCACTGAGTCATAAGAACATCCGGTTTTCTCGTTTAGTGCTTCGGATTATAGGAACAAATTTCCTCACAATTTCCAGCTTGCAGAAGGAACATGAGAATTTGTAAACAAATGTTATAACTCGTGGCAGAAATAGAGAGAAATGTCTAGCTTCATCCAAGGTTTATTCAGCCTCTGTTAAATAACTATTCTATCACCAATCTCTACTACAGAAAGAAGATTTGTAAGCCGCAATGTACTTAGTTATCCTTGCATGTAACTGCTTTAAAATTTTGGTTTGAATGGTTACCCTTTATGCCCCTAAAATTCAAATTTTCCCTTAAAAAAGTTTAATAAAATTTGAATATTTATGAAAATAATCATCTAGCCTTACTAAAATAGTAATGTGTTATCATTACCCAGCTCATTTCAAGGCCAAAGTGGGAAATATTTGTGGGAGTGTAGATGTTCACATAAAACCTACTTGAAGTTTGCTCGTTATGGCTTTTAATTAGTAACTTCTACTGGCAATTTACAGAGCTCTCAAAAACACTCTCCCTACTTTTCTCTTTTCAGATATTTTACTTGTGATATGATTTTGCCTCAGTCAATATAATGGGTACAATATTGGCTGTCAGATCATATTTATCAAGAATTTTCTATGGGCAATTCTGCTAAAGCCCTTAAAACTCTGACATAATTTCATCTTTCTACAGCCATTCAAGATAAATTATCTTTGCCCAGGTATTTTACCAATAAATAAAACTGACAGTTAAAGTGGTTTAATATGTAGGCCTCAATCACATAACTAAAATTACTGTGACACGAAGTTTCAGTCCCAGGTTGCCTGCCCCCAGAGCCGGAGCTGGACCCGCTACCGTATTTGTGTGTGTAATTCCCAGTAGCCACTCACCTTCCTGCTCTCAGGTGTGAGTCACTGCCCTCACTGGCCTGTTACAAAGCCTTATCTACATGTAACTGAAAATTTTAAGAGTACAGAATTCAGTTATTTCTGGGTAGCTTTCTATTTCTGAGTAATTTAAACTTAATCAAATGTTGATTCTTCAACCAGTCATTCAGTTAGCATCTAGAATTACATTATCATTTCCAGTAATTGTCAAGCATTTGAAAGCCACACTCTTCTAAAAAGTTAGCCATATTTGGCTTTATATGGCTTATGTGGTGTTGTGTATAAACCTCTTTTGTTTCTTTTAAAATTTTTTTCTATTATCTGTGCCCACTGATAAAAATGAGCAACTTACGAATTTGGAGACCATAAAGAAAGCTCCTAGTTGAGAAATGCTCCTAATACTCAAATATAGACAAGAGAATCATCATGGCCACCAATGGGCAACTAAACCGGTAACACTGAGAGTGACAGCTGCTAACCCTGTAAAATGCATGAACACAATGTATACACCCAACACGTAAACTTCACTCCCTGAGGCTAAGTGAGTTCTAATTCAGCATGTTATCACTGAGGAGGGAGAACTTCTAATATTAAAAATGCATCAAATGATTGGGTTTTCATCTATAATTGTCTCTTTTACACATAATCCAATTTCTATTTTACTGACAAGTTGGGGTCTGTTTGCCTATTTTAAAAGATTAGCCATCATGGCTATTGACCCAATGGAATGAAAACTGGCATGAAATGCAATATCAGGGATCACTCCAAATATTTATTTTTCTCATTATTTTCCAACACAAATTTGGCAAGAAACTATAAGCAAAAAGAACACAAGGTGGGAAGCAGGTCCCACCATAGGAACGGTCTGAGGGAACTTTGTCTCCAGTCCCTTTTGTGGGTTTTTAAAAAAATATTTATAGCTCTCATACTCACTTATGCCCACAGCAGTAATGAGCTTGATTGCCAGTTCAGGAATCTCACACTGAATAAAAAATGGTTCCAGAATGTAGCGTCCAAAGGCCAGAGATATCACCGCAGTGGCTGCAGGGCTAGAAAACACACATGTTTAGGTTCCTAACAAAAATAGTATCTTCACTAAACTTTTTCTACTGGGAAGGAATATTATTCAGTATATGGACCATGTTAAATAGGAGAGTCTATAATTTTCAGAACTTCATATTTCATTAGATCAATGACATATTGTCTATAACTTTGGTGGATAGTTTTTAAATGTCACAGTTGCTTGGGAGCAAGACTGGGCACCATCAATTTTGCCTCTGGTCTCCATGTTTGCCTTTTCTGCCCTTAACAGTCTAGTTTATTACTTGACATCCTGACTGAGATGAGCTTCAGAAGAAGCAGTCTTCGTTCTCAGGAAGTCAACACTTAAACCCCAGCCCCAGTAAGCATGTGTTCACAGTCCAGATGTAATGGCTTGGGGTATGGTGAGGGAAATGAATGCAAAACGCAACAAAAAATTAGTATTTATTGCAAATATATGCTTACACCCCTACCCTGTATTATTATTATTTTTCCAGTATAGATGAACAAGTGAAGAGACAAGGATTACTCTTAATTGCACAGAAACATTTAGATGCAAAGCATAAGCTGAAAAATAGAAGCACCTGTGTAATTTAACACAAGTGAGAAAATAGGTGTGAAATCACAAAAGGAAATAAGTTCAGGTATAGAGCAAAACAGGTAACAAACCATTCTACTTTAATTCTTCAAATATTTCTGAGCACATTATACATGTCTCTTTAGCTTCAATATCGGTATATATGAATGCATATTCTTTGGATACACACACCAGCCCCTGGGATTGTCTAATTTCTCCAATAATCCTCCTTTCCAGCTTCCCGTCCTTCTCACAGCTGCCCCACAGCCATGCCCAAACCCTAGACTGTCAGAAGACCAGCTGCCTGCGTGTGTTCCAGCGTTGGCCTGCTGGTATCGGACAGCACTATAAACTTCTTGACATTCTCCTCTTCCTGGAGACCCCCTCCTCTTCCAAAACAGGACTTTTTTTCCTGTTCCCCATCATTTATACATCTTTTGATGTGTAAATTAAAATCTGGTCATGTCATTTTAGTGCTTTTAAAAACGAGATCATAATATGCAAAAACCCTTCCGTTGGAGGCTCCCGCTGGTCTAAACTCTCCCTTCCTCTTTGGTTTGCTTCTCCTCCCTAGGAAGATCTGAATACCCTTTGCCTGGAGCCCCTGCAACTCATGGACAGCTTTTCGTCTCTCAGAGCTGAATGCAATCTTCCTTTGCCTGAGAAAGCTGCTCCTGCCCTCCGACTGTGTGAGGTCTCCCAGGGAAGTCTTTCCCAGTGAACCTGGGCCTTCCTTCTCACAGTGCTTATCATAGTGGTGACTTCCTATGCAGGATGCGATTTCTTTATTGGTAACTATCGCCCTCACTTGACCCTGAGCTCCATGCGTTCAAGACTGTGTCCATCTTAATCACTGTGCTTATTCCCAATGTTCAGTATGTCTATCATGTAGCAGAAACCCTATAAATATTAACTATATGGCAAATGTGTGAATTCAATCTAATGGCCCCTGTTTTGCACTGATGTGTGCTATTTCTTTCCTTGAAATCTTTATAGATGATTTTATAGATGATTTCTGGCAAGAGTGAATTTATCTGAAGTACCGTTTTAATATTAAATATTTAGGTACCATGTGTATTGTCAACAGAAATGTTCATAAAGTATCTAGATATTTTGCCACTGCTCAAGTCATTCTTTACTCTGTTTAAAAGACCACTGAGCAATGTGAGTCCACTATTATAAAGGAATACATAAACCCACTGAAAAAGTTTCTAAAGAACAAACTGACAGTGCCCAGAGGAGAGGGGGAGGAGAATAACAGGGGAAAGAAGAGGAAGGGTCAAGTCAAGGAACATGGATGAAGGACCCATGGGCAGACAACAGGGTGAGGGAGGATTGAATGCGGGAGGGGAGAGTGGGAAGGACCAGGGAGAGTAATGGGGGGAAAATAGGGGCAACTGTAACTGAAAAATAATTTAAAAAAAGCTTCTAGGGTATATCTAGGCAATTTCTCCACTAATATGCACCCATGCACACCATAAATTAGCTCTCATAATTAAAGTAACATTTGATTATGAGCTACTTGGGAAGAGGAATTATGACTTATTCCACTTCAGATCTCTTTAACTTGCCTATCACTGCCCAGGAGCAGTGTGAGGAATGAATACACTAATGAATGAGCACTATATCTGTGCTACTGGATATAAATGACCATGCTTATCATAATGCCAAGCAATGAGCCAAGGCCACTCAACCAATACATGGATTCAAGTCCAGCTCTACCAAGTTCCAACACCCACCGTCCTGACAACCCCGCACTCTAGGTAGTGTGCTTATTTGAATGCTGAGTATGTTGAGTCAAAATATGATAACCTTAAACTTTCATTCACATTCTAAATAATCTAATATCTGTGGTACTCAGTGCACTGAACTAAGAAGTATGAGGGTTACAAAAAGTATGAGACCTGGTCTTCAGTGCCTGAAATGACTGCGGTTTTAACAGGGAACCAGGATACAAACGCCTAAAATGTTAGGTAAGAATACAAGATAGCATGTTCAATGTCAACTGAGAAGCAGAGACTGCATGTTTCAGAAGAAATAGAGAGGAAAGAAATACCTTAAAATAAGGCAAACAGGAAACTAACTGTGTAAAAGATAGAATTTCAGTTGACCTTTGAAGATTAAGATTCAGATCATCAGAAAAGAGTGGAAGGCACATCCTAGAAAATCCCAGATTTTAGAAAAGAAACAGAATACTTCTTTATCATTATTTCATCAAGACAAGTTTTAAATAATATCGAATTGTTTAAAATGAGAACAGACTTAACAAAGATGTAAATACTACTCTGAAGATCTTTGTTAAAAAAGAGAACCCTAGGACTATAAAAATCAAGATGAGTGTTTATTTGATGCTTAGTAGCTCTGTCTTTGCCACTTAGCCGCAAATGACAGGATAAAAGCTCACATGAGCTCTCAGCTGTGTATTTCTGGTACGTTTACATGAAGAACAAGTTTTCCTAGTTACCTTTGTTAAACTCTGTAATCACAGTGTGCAAGTCATGTTTTTGAAAGCAGTTAAACCCCAGGCATTGCAGTACTCTAAATGTCTCACATATGACATCATAGGTTTCCCACGAAGTTGAAGGGAACTTGCTATTCACAGTGACTTAGCACAATGCAGCTTGATTCTAAACCAAGAGTATCAGGCAGAGTAATACATTGCTGTAATAATAAAATCAAAAAAGATTTTTGCAGCTGATTAGTGTAGTGATTTGTTTAACATTAGGAAGTGGGTCATTTACGTCAAGTAAAGTCTTTTTATTTTTTAAATATTAAACTTGTCGACACACTAAGTTGTGAAGCACCAAAGTCTCCTAGTCACAAAAACTGAGTAAAGTTAAATGTCTTAGTAATGCGATCTACAAGAATAAAAACCTAAGTTCTTAGCATAGCACTTCACTTTGGCCAGTCAAAGAATGTGCTTTATCAAGCTGGATTTTGACGCTTCATGTCCTTTCAGGTTAACATTCCTAGAAATGTCATCAGGAATAATTGAAAATTAAAGGGAAGCAGCTACTAAAACATTTGGCATGGCTGGCAAACTACTGGCCATGGCAAAACTGAATTGAAAACATTAATTGAGAAAGGTGTTTCATCACAGGCTCTGTGTCCTGAAGTGGACATAGTCACAACGCAGTCACGTGGCATGCATATTTTAATTAGGTTTCTTTTTAAGTCTCTCAAATTTTTTTAAGATTTTATTTATTTACTTTTAGAGAGAGGGGAAGAGAGTGAGGAAGAATGGGAGAGAAACCTCAGTGTGTGAGAGATACTCGCACATCCCCAACAGGGGACTGGGCCTGCCGCCCAGATACGCGTCCTGACTGCGAATCAAACCATCAACTTTTTGGTTTGCAGGCTGGCGCTTAGTCTACTGAGCCATACCAGCCAGGGTAACTAGTTTAAAATAATCATGGTAATTCAAAGAAGGGCATAACAAATAGGTTCAGTTTTCTTAATTTTGTCCTATTAATGCACTTACCGGATTATGAGCAGTTCTACCCAGACTCTTACAAAAGCTGGTAATGGGCCGAAGACTTCCAGGATATATGTATAATGACCACCAGATTTCTTTATACTTGTTCCCAGTTCAGCATAGGACATGGCTCCTGTGAAATATTTATAATAAAAAGATACAAAGATAAATACCACCAAGTCACCTAGCAGTCCACTGATACAACAATGTTTGTGTTACACAGGATAGTACCACACCCTTTGGCCTAAATGACATCCATATTTCAAGACAAATGATGGTCATCGAATTGCTAAAGACCCACCAAATTCTTCTTTTAATTTCCTTAAGTCTGAGCTCTTGTCCATTCTATTTAAACTATGTAAGTTTACTTAAAATGGTAACGACAAACTCCTAAAGCAGTATCATATTTTTAAGAATTTTAAATGTCAAACCTAGGAACAAGGGAAAAAGAGGAGCTAGATGCTAATAACACTAACCTATTTTTCTGTTCTTTTTTTCTTTTTCCTTGAATTTATTAGGGTGACGTTGGTTAATAAAATTATATAGGTTTCAGGTGTACAGTTCGATGATACTGTATATTGTATTGTATGTTTACCACCTCAAGTCTCCTTCTGTCACCATCTTAAAAGACAACTTCACACCAAGATAAGAAATTATCCCAAATTGACCTCATTGTAATGAGAATCCTTTTAATAAATATTTCTGTAGTGGATCAAAATAAAGAAGATTTATCTGTTTTTCAGAAAAGTCTAGGTCTCGAAAGGCTTCACTTATTTATTGTAGAATATGTTTTGAACAAAATGAATCTTAACTCATATATTTTATTTCTAGAAAACATTTTCTTGGATGTTTTTAAAGTATAAACTTCTGGGTGGTTGAAATAACGTACTTTAAAAAAAAAAGAGGTGCTGTAAGTTGCATTTATTACATTAGGTAGAATTAATTATACACCAAATTTTAACATTTAGCAATACATTCGGACGGACTTGACTGAGTTATGTACCCTCCCAAAACCTCAGTTTCACTTTTTGTGTGTCGGTGTGATAACGGGTGCCAAGGACGCCCGGGGCCTGACTCGTGGGATGAGCCCCTCGTGAAACACAGCTACACCTGTTGATTTGAACAATTACTTATCAAGATAGTGGAAAATATACCTTGATATTATGTGAAAATGTCTACCATACTGAAACACAATTTTCACTTGAGCTACTTCAGAGACTAAACGTATGGGAAATTACCCCTAGTCAGTAACGTGAATAGAACGTGGATATTCAGTAAAGCCTGGGCATTACTTACCCTATTCCTGAACCTAGCATTTTATCAGAGTCACCAGGGAAGAATTTTTTTATTTAAAATCAAACAAAAATCAGATTCAAAAAATCATACCCCAGACCTGCTCTCTAACCAAGAGAGTCTAGAGTAACTAATCTGCAGATTGATATTTGAGGATCATTGATATAGTTGGTGTATTGATAAATAATTATGACTATTTGCACTTCACAGTCTGTTGGAAACCAGTCGCCATGTTGGTAGGCTGTACAAAAAAGCATCCACTATAAAATGTTATTGGAAACAGTCTTAAATAGCTCAGAATTTATTGCCAGAGAATCAATACCTAGACCTGTGCATGCTTTGCAGGAACTCCAGGATAGTTGCCCTGAGTTTAAATTGAGTTCTGGAGGATTGAGAATTTCATTTAAAATTCTCAAGTTCCATAATCATTTTACCCAGATGAAAAAAGTTCAAAACAGGATATAAAAATCCATGTATTGATCTTAGCTTTACAAAAAAAAAAATTGTAAACCAAATACATAGATTCTTTAAAGTTCCAGACTTTCAGAGTTTTAAAAGAAAGACTTTTTCCCTTACATTTGCTTCGCTTCCTGTTCGGAAGGCCCACCTGTCAAAAACCTTCCAGTAACTTAAGAGACAAACACAATGTAAATCCTGATATGTAGATTCACGCAGGAGTACACTCCCTGCAATTAATAATTGAAGAATACCAACTCAGGTGTAACTTTAGTTAGTCCCTTTAGCATTTTTCTCCCCTGAGCTTGAGATGATATACTTTTGCAGAAGCATATTTTCATAGTGCAAGTCAACATCACTTTAACCAGTTCAATGCTCAGAGCAACCCGTTTTATAGTATGTGAATGTGTTATTGTGTACAAAAAGGGAATCACATAGTAGGAGCAGCATGTACATAGTATGCGAAGTCCAGGAAAGAGGTTATGGTTTTTCCTATTAAAACACTGATTTATTCAGAATATATCCAGTGTTGCAGAAGACAGGCCGAAGGTGCACAAAGTCATTTAGGTCCATCAACAACTAGGTTTCTTTGGCTATAAATGTACATGCAAGACCATTATGAATACCACAAACTCTTAAAAATCTAAAAGTTACTCCTCCCTGGGTCTTTTTATACTAAAGCTTTGGTTTAATAAGTCTTATTTAAAATAACTTCTTCCTTTAAAAAAGTAATAAGTAAATAAAATGGTTTGTTACTAATAATAGAAATTGGAGCTCTCTTAAGCTCAAACCAATGAATTAAAACACCACAAGGCCTTCAGAATGAAAGGACTGATAGGTGTAGAACCAAGTTAGTACTTGGTCCTAGTGTTACAACAAAGAGTTAGTACCATTAAAGAGTAGTGTCTTTTGGAATCAAAGCACACAATTTGCCAGAGAAAAACAAATACATATTAAACATTTACCGCCACAGCAAAAATGAAATTTTTTTTTAACTATTCACCAGTTTTTGTCACCTTTGCAACTAACTCATGTAGCTTTCTAGTAATTTGTTCCCCTCATGAGTGGACATTTATTAACTCTTTACTATTAATCATCAAATCAATAGAAGAAATCTCGATCTTGAAGGAAAATTAATAACATTTCTTCTAGCAGTTCCATTCAGTGAACAGGTGGACAAATGATCTGTGTCAGAGGACCGTAAGTGAAGAAAACAGATCTAGGCAAACACAGCAAAACTAACACCCAGTCCCAGTTTTACAATTTAGACTGCAGAAGTTTACAGGCACTGGGGAGAGAGGAAAGGTTAAAAAAAATCTGAAGTAGGCTCCGACGCTTACAATATATATACCCACTCATGAAAGTGACTGCGTTATGTGTAGTCACACCCTCTTTCCTCATCAAGGACTTTTGAAATGAGTTCCAGGAACTGACAAACACATGAAGTTCGAAGATTAAAAAAGGAAACACTGCCACCCTTTTTTTTGCCAATTAAAAAAAAGAAAACAAAAGCCGGTAAAACTTCTGCTGAACACTCAGTTCTGCGTCTAACTAGGCCACACCGGGCTCCCCCTCACAGGTGTTTCATTCAGGGTACCACCTGGCACCGATGCCCCACACACACAACTAAGCACAACCGCCCGGTCCGGAAAGCTCGCGTGCGTTTCACCAGGTCATCAAAGTCAGCCTTTGCTCTGGTCGCCACAGGGAAAAGTCAGGAAACAGCCTGTCTGAGTCAGGAAAAGTGAGTACAGCCTGCAGGAAGCCCCGTGAAGGAACTCAGGGTCCTGCCAGCAGCGGACACGGTGCTCGGGCAGCTCACATACCCCTACAAAAATCAGCACGTTCAGTGTAGCCTTTGCCGTGTCATTGGCTCCTTAAAAAGGACCCTTTGCCTTCCCGGAGAGCCAGCTGCCCGGCTCCTCAGACACACCCCCCTTCCCGAGACGCAGCTGCACTCACCAAACAGGGACAGGACCCCACAGACTGTCCAGACAATCAGAGACATGCCCACGCTGCCCGTGTTCTGGAGCACGCCCTTGGGAGAGATGAAGATTCCCGATCCGATGATGGTGCCCGTGATGATGGAGATGCCCCTCAGCAAGGTGATTTTCTTCCTCAGCACCACCGTCTCCTGCGCGGGGGGCTCCTTGCCCCCCGGGGCAGGCAGCCTCCCCTGCACATTCCCCTGCAGGTACCCTCCACTGGAGATGGTGGACACGACAGGCTTTCTGACCATTGTAGTGACACACGGTGGGGAAAATGAAACAGGGGGGAAAAAAAGAAAAAACTGAAACTTTCAACTTTGGTGTCTCTTGGTGTGACTGGCCAATCTCCTCCTCTTTGCTCTCTGATTGTCTCTCAGTGCTATTGTGTTCACAGGTAAAAACTCAAGAGGTGTATTTTCTCCTTCACAGCTATCTGATTACTCCTCAGAAACACCTGTGTGCTCTTGGGGCTCCGGCTCCTCCACCTCCTCCGACTACCCCGGAGCTGTGGCTGCCGCGGCAGCCCTATCATTACAAACCAGATCAGCTTCCTTTTGGGCTGGTATTTAAGCTCCTGCCTGTCACACCAACTTACTCCGGCTAAATGATGATGCAAATTCTCCAGGTTTGCATCAGCCGCATGAGAAGGCTCCAGCATGACTCAGCTCTTTTTTTTTTTTTTTTAACAGTAGCAGCATGTTGCCCAACTGACCTAAGCTTTTCAGAGAACAAAGCATGCCCTTTAAAGGGATCTTAACCAATCCAGAAGTAGTAAACTCAGAACAGACCTTCCCAGAGATTTAAAGCAACTCCTAGCGAGGGACAAAAACTTTTGACCCAAGAAAGAAAATGAAAAATGAAACAGGAAATGATCCGAGCATTGTGGAGTTCCTTTTTTCTTTTACATATAACTATTTTGATAATAGAATGAAAACCAGGACGGCAATGTTTATAACAACAAAATTTGGATTTTATAATCTGTTTCCTGCTTTTTTTCTTTTATGTTTTGGGGTTTCCTAGCAACCCAGTCAAACCTAATATTTACAAAGCTAGAATGATTCTGTATAGCTGCTGTCATGAACGTAACAATTGTGAGCCTTACTCAACATTAAAAAATAAAAACTATTTCTTACTGCCAACAATATGCCAGTATTTAAAAATCGCCATCTGAGTGTGACAAGTTTTAAAATCACAGTGATTCTAGAAAATACTCATTATCTGATTCTCATTAGCACTAACTGATCTCCTAAACTAAGTAAAAGATACACATTCTTCATTTGCATGTTAGTCCATTGAATTACTTAACAACTAATTTAAAAATTAAATAATAATTGCAATGACATAAAAACATGCATTGGGCAAAAGCTTGAAAAGAAAGGCAGAATAACAGTTTGAAAGGTAATGATATCCTGCATGACTTTTTTTCCTAAAGTGTCTTACCCATTGTTATATTATGATTATCAACTTACAATGAATTAGAAACATTAGATAAGACTACATTGTTTACTTTGAAACAGTGAGAAAGGCAAAACATTTTAAAACCCTACTAACTTTCTTAAGTGTCCATAAATACCAAAAGAAAAGAAATCCTAGATACCACATTTGGCTGTGGTTTAGAGGTTTTGGATTCAGTGAGAATTGCATGTTATCATCACCCTGCAACTCCCTTTACACACACTATTCCACATGCTTCTGAATGTCTGAACAAAAACAACAAACAGAAAACGTGTGTGAGAAGCAGGGATGGGGCGAGGTTCAGGATGACACTTGTAAGAAACAGACACTTAGAAAGCAGCAGGGAAAAGGTCAGAACTATTTTGCTATAGTGGCCCCTGAGAAAATGACACCACATCAATGCTCTAGCATCTAAATAATTGAGGCTACATTATTTCCTTTTTATGTTGTCTCTCTGACCCTACGTAATTTCTTTGGGTAGACCAAGTCAGGGTTTTTCTATAGCCAAAATAAATACGTTTACCCAGCTGTCATGTCTTTTAAAAAACAGAAATGTGTTTTTTCTCCTTCAATCTTGTTGGAAGTATCTCAAAAAGAAAACTAAAGAAAGATTCTTCTTCTATTTCTCTTCTACCTCCTCCGAGTCCATCCACTCACAAAATTCTCCTGATGTGTGAACATAATGGAGAGAGGAGAGGCCTCTGTTTCCCCAAAGGGGTGACATATTAGCTCTGAAGAAATACAAGTTGAAAGTAGACCATTCAGCATCCCAGGGAACAACGTTCTGTCTGAAACTGGTACAGAGCCATACTGCAATTTTATGTTTTGTGCTAAATGACTGAACTTATAAATTGAGACCGAGACCTCACTCTGGAAGTTAGATAAATTCTTTTAAAAAAGGGGGGGAAAAAAGTTCTTTCTATATCAAATAACATTCTCCTCCTTCACTCTATTCTTAAAAAATTAATGACAAAAAAATCACTCGAGTTAGACTAATGGCCAAAAGATTTGTACCAAAAGATAAGTTAGTCACACTCAAAAATTCTGCAAAGCTGCATGTAGTTACTGAAGACACGAGTGCCCCTCTTCTGATCACCAAGAAGTTGGGAGAAAATGCAGGTTACAAAGAAAATGCGGAATTATTTTGAGTGTTAATGAACTCTTAAAATCAATAGTTCTAAACATATCAGCTAAGAATTTGGATAGTCTTTAACTATATGTGTATTATAAAAATGAGTTCCAGGCAAATGCATTTCTATTCCTCCCCCTGCTTTAAGCCTTATTTTAAATACTCCTGTCAAATTAGGAAACTATTCTACTGCTATTTACAAATTATTTATTTAGCGCTTACTGTGCACAAGGAAAAAGCTCCTTAAATGCATCTTATGAAAGAAATAGATGTGATCTGCTACGGTAGCTTCCCCTGTGTGGTAAATTATTTCTGCCCCATGATTATAAATATGGGCATATAATAACCTGACCAAAAATAATCATCTTCCTGGCTGCAAGGCATATGAATGCGACCTAAGCTGGGATATTTCTAAGCAGAATTAGATTTATCTTTTCTCACCTGTTGGAAGTTGTAGAGATGTGACTCCAGAACAACTGGGGGCCTTGCCCCCTGTCATGTTGAAAAATGCTCATGAAATAAATTGAGACTATGTATAGATGAGAGACTTAGAATGTGCCAGCATCATCAAGCCTTGTTTCAGTTCCTATGGGATCCAGGTTGGCTGTGGGTATTGAAGATCCTCCTTTATTTCTATAAGCTACCTCATGCCCACACAAAACAACTACACGTGGAGGTGGAGTTCAATGTAAGTGGGACGTCATTTAAAGCTCCTAAACTGGGTCAATATGACACATGACAGCCATTACACACACGTGGCGACCAGCACTTGAAATGTGGCTTGTTCGCATTGGGATGTGCTGTAAGTGGACAACGTCTGCTGGCACTAGAAATCTTATTTTTAAAGAAAGAAGAATAATTGTCTCCTTAATAATTTTATTATTTGTATTCATTCTACCCATTTCATTGTTTTTTAGTGGCTATTTAAAAACAAAATTATATACCATGTTCAGACTCATGGCTCACATTATGTTTCTACAGATGGCGCTGATCTAGAAGAAAACAGGACATATTCCTCAACTTAGGGAAAGCAGGGATTTCTCCTTCTGTATCTTTATTATATTTTTTCCCATTACCATTTAGCCCCCTTACAGCATATCCCCCCTCACCCCCGCCCCCGCCCCCGCCGCCAGCAATCCCCACACTGTTGTCCATGTCCATGAGTCCTTTTCTCTTTTTGCAGGGATTTCTTAAAAAGGACAGACAAATCACTAACCATAAACAAGGATACATTAGAATATATTAAAATTAAGAATTTCCACTCATCAGAAGACATGAGTAAGAGACTGTAAAAGTGAACCGTGAGATGGGAGGAAGTATTTGTAGCTGGCAAATATCTCATATCCAGAGTAAATTCCTACAAATCGAGAGGAAAAAGACAGTACAATAAAAAACATGCAGTAAATTCTAACAAACACTTTGATAAAATGGCCAAAACATTTGTAAAAAAACTGCTCACCAGTATTAGTCACGAGGGCAATTAAAACTAAAACGACCACCACGGGACATTCACCCCCACCATCACGGTGGCTCACTTGAGAAAGCTTGGCAAGACGCGAAGTGATGCAAATGGGGAGCAACTGGAACTCATATTCAGCTTCCGGGAGTGTTAGTTGCTGCACCTTTATGCAAAGTTGTTTAGCTGTATTTACTAAGGTAAACATACACATGCCCTTTGACCAATAAATCCCATTCCTAGGAATATGCCCAATAAAAAAGAAGGACATCCACATACCAAAAGATGTGCATGAGAATATTAATATTGGGCATTACTTATAATAACCAATATTGAAAATAATACAAGTGTCCATAGACAGCAGAATGAATACATGTATCATTGGCCTAAATAATAAAGAGGAAATTTTAAAAAACACTAAAGAATGTATAAAAGTAAGTTTTATGTCATCAGATAATGCAGTATTTCTTAAACGAAACATATACCTACACAGCTTGCTTCATTACCTAATAAGTTCTCTGCTGTAATGTCACCTAATAATAATGGTGTTCTTTGACTGCCAGATATAAAATACTAACCCCCACAGTAAATGCTTGACATCCTCAACATTATTACCCTGTTTTATTTTTCATCACAGCAATTATTACCACTGCTGAGATGGGAGCAGGGAATTTATTGGACTCACTCTTCTATCCCCAAGAGCCAGTACCTAGCACATAGTATTCCCTCAGTAACATCTGTAGAATAATAAAAATACAAAAACAACTAAGAGAACTATTTACAAATTTACCAGAACAATAATTCTTCTGTTCATTAAAAATCACCATAACTATAGAAGTAGGCCGTACCCGAAAGACATTTATATTTCTCATAAAAGAAAGACTTAAAGTCCTGAACATGTAAAGATATATGTGCAGATCTTTAAGACAGAGAGGATTTAATCAGACTATTCACAGAAAACTTCACTGGCAGAAAACATTAAAATGTGTACCTCATTAAGGTCTACCAACACTTCCTTGACAAATGGCAATAATAAATTCGATTGAAAGAACAGCACCACTTGGGAAAACCAGCTGAGGTTACCTACTTAAAGCACAGAGAAGGAAGCCAGTGCTTTCAAGATATACCTCTGAGGTCTCAGTTACATTCCTTAGCACAGATGGAAGTTCAAGTTCACCAGTTGCAAACCGTAACACATGAATGAGATCATTAAGGTCCCCTGGCTTTCTGTTCGCATGGCATATGCTCTCTAGATCCAGCCTGACATAAATAATTCTGGAGAAATTCTGCATGTCATCTATTCTGGGTAAGTGCCAGGATCCCCTCATCTGGCCCAGTTTACCTATCAGTCTCAGAAGTGTACAATCTGCAATTTGATTACCAATTACCC